CTCTTCCCAATATGCGTTTTTGCAATTTGCATATATGCAAAAACGCATAAAAACGTATATTGGCAAGTGGTTATCTGTGTGTCTGCATCTTCGCACTTTTCTCACCCATCCTCAACTCGCGAACCAGAAAAGCTAGAAAACTAAAACTCCCGGAGTATTAGCGCTACTCTTTGGAGACGTACGATCTGTGCCAGGTGCAGTTACGCCGCGTAGCGCACAATTATCTGCAAAGAGTAGCGCACAGGCCTACTGCGGTTTTTTATGCGAGTTTTGAAAGAAATGGGATTTGATTTCGGCCGACAAGTTGCTGTATGCGCCTTCGTTGCGCTGCCGCAACATCAGCAATAGCGCAGTCCCCTCATTCCTCATCCTTAGATATTTGTTTTAGAAGGGTGCATCTGAACGTGATTGAAAGAAGTTGCTGCTGTCACCGCCGATAGAGTGAGGATGAGTCCATTAAAGCTGACAATCGAGCGCATCTCGGGCCTGATCATTTTTTTTTCAAATTTCATCTTTTCGTTGCTCTTTTCATTTTTGCACCGCTTTTTCACATTTTTTAATGGGCTTTTTTCAGATGTGTATTTCTGATTAGTAAAGGCGGATTTCTTTAGCAATAAATGAAAAATTTTTTCGGAGTTGCTAGCTCTTCCAGCAATGTGGCAGTTCGAAATTAGCTAAGAACCGGCCCCAATATGCTGGAATGGACGATGATGTTGTAATAGATGACTACAAAATTGAAAAGTCAGTTATTTTGTTTAATTCATTTCTCTTCTTTTTCCTTTTCTTCTTCTTCTGAAAATTTTAGAATTGTTAAAATTTAAAAAAAATAAACTAAAACTTCATAACCTTCAAAATGGAGGAAATAAAAACTCAATTACATATTCATTTTTAGTCAATTTTCTGCCTGATTTTAATGTCCTTAAAATTTATTTACCGCTGTTGCGGCATTTTGGCACTTTATAATCGAAATTTTCGTCCCAGAACCACTTGCTACTCAAATTTCCGTTTCTTTCTGCAGCTTTTTGATGCTTGTTAGCAGCACAAGAACTGCGTATCTTTAAATCATAGATGTACGAAAGCTTGGCACGGCCTACCGAATATTTCAAAAAGTAGGTTGAAATGTCGATTTTATTCTCTGTTGCTTAAAGAGGGCAATTAAGCCAAAGCAGCTACTGAAACTTTCCTAGCTTAATTATCCTCTTTTTGCTATGGTAACCGTGCAATCGCTGGGTGATTTCTAAATAATTTCCCAAAGTTAGTCTAAAAAAAAGTGCGAGAGCCTATGTGATTCATTTTTCTGGAAGGACAATTTCTTTTTCCGAGTGCTTACATTAGCTGCTCAAAAGCAGTTGAAAAACTTCAAATGAATTGTGCTTATGTATGTACGCGGCGTTAGGGCATCTGTGTTCGACCTGCTAGTATTCGCGGTACTGGAAACACTTGGCATTGTGGCAGTATGTGGCAATCTATCGCTCATTATTATATTAATCAAATTTAATTATTTGACAAAAGCGAGGTAAGTGCCTCTTTGTTGGAATGGTCAGTATGGCCAAATTCCTGTTCCAGTAAGTTGTCTGTTCGGTCAGTGACGTTTGAATTGTGCCTTTGCACGAATGTTAAGTTCGTACCGAAAAGTGGCAGAATTTGTTTCCTTTGTAAACAAATGATGCGGATCAAAAAAAAAAAAAAACGTTAGACACTCTAGATCTGAAACATTGATTTTGCTTCTCAGCTCACAACGGCGTAATTGTACTGGGCCACTTTATGTTCGTTGTAGCTTCATTCTATTGCTCAGTTTGGCGCTAGCAAATGTGGTGCATGGCATTGTCACATCATTTTATTTTTATCCTCCAATAGCGCTTAAACGGCAACATTTCTCTCTGCTATGGATGAGGATATTCAACGTGCTAGACTGGACAGCCTGGGCCATTACTCTAACGTTTGTCGCTTTTTTTTGCACAGCTTATCGCATCGCATAATTGGAAATCATTTACACCAAATTATATTGTTTGTTAGGCCATTCTAAGCCCAAGGCAGTTTAGTTTGGCCTGTTAAAATTCAAAGTACTTTTGTGGGGCTAGTGTGGAACTCGTCAAAAGCGGCTTACTTATGCCAGCATAGAAGTTTACTGCTTTCCTTAAAACATTATAAGACTTCACAAAAGTAGCTGCAGGCACTCTTTCAAACCGACTCATTCATAAATCTTTTTCTCTTTTTCCATCAACTGCTGAGAGGTTATAGCGGGAGCTTCGTTTTGGCGCAGCTTGCCCTGTTCATTTATAAAATCCTTCTATCAACTTCACACTTCCAGTCCTTCCTTTTTCTGCCTCACGCCCCCTTTCGCAGATCATCTTGCCAGTGATACTGGGCTGTATCGTGAAAGTTATGAACTCAGAAATATCCCAACTAATGTGGATCTATTTGGACGAAATTTAGACACATAAGTGCAATCAGTTTGGACCGATTGATAGCTATAATATATTATGTCCGATATTCGAGTATCGTTTCTGTGAACCGTGTGCGAAAATATAGGTACGACTTTTTTGTTAATCAGTCCAGCAAGGTGAAGAATAAGTATACAAAATTAGTAGTTCTGTCAATAAATTTCCTAAGTCTCCTCTATTATACATTTCTTATGATTTTGCAGATGCAAAATATCAGTGTGGTTGCTTGTGTGTGTGCGCGTGTGTACGTGTATATGTGTGCATGTCTGCGTCTGTACATGTATTTGCCGCACTCGAGTGAATGTAGACTTGCAGCAGGCCCGCAGGTTTTCCCCATTTATCTAAAACTTTAAACATTTATTTGCATAATGAATGTTAACTTATTCTAAATGAGCAAAACTATGTGCAAATTTAGCTAATTGCTCCTTATTGAATCTGCACGGATTATCTGCAGCGAAATGATTTCCTGTGTCTTTCTGTTACTTGCAAGATGAGATTTCGCCCTGTTAAATATCCAGCTCAACAAAAGTTTCAATTTTTTTATTAGCTAAAGATGCGATAAAGGGAAAAAGTAAAAAGGACGGGGGCGAGGGGTTAAAAAGATTGCATCCTAAGGCACAGCGTTGAAGCTTTTCGTTTCAAATGTGCACCCTACTCGCTTACACGTTATCGAAATACAAATTCATAAAGGCGTTTCCCCGTTAAAACAAAGCAGCTTTATAAAAATTTATCGGACTTAAAATGTAGGTAGAAATATTTTAGGAATTTTCACATTTTAGAGCGACAAAAATGAGCGTCATGCAGTTTCTGGTTAATTCTAAAAATCTTATTTCTGATTCCTCTGGAAGTATAATCAAGCGTAACGATATTTCTAGCGTATTTTGTTGGATATTTTTCACAATTCTCAATTTGGTTTTATTCACATTGGATGCCTGCTGTGTGATAATTCCTCTCGAAGACCATGAATTTTATAGTTTCGGTTACCAACGTGGAGACGGTTTGTATGCGATATTTTTAAAGATAGCAGGATATGGCTGCTTAGCAGAGGAAGGCTGCTGCTAGTAGACTACTCTACGGGGCAGGCTATGTCTATTGGTAATCTAGAAAGTGAAGGCTCTTTTAGCTCAACATAACTGTGTTTCGCTACCAAATGAACAGTTATAGCTCGATATAAAGGATCTGGAGTGCTGGGCCAAGCAAATCTGTATGTTTATGCATATACACCTCTGGAAACGAGTACTATTCTGATATTATTTGTCTCGAATCCTATCATTCTAGTGCAACTCTATAGGCGATGGAAGCGTAAATTTGCACTTCAACGGTAAGCTTTCTCACTCTCAAAATATTCGTGGAACTGCATATGTTTTGAAGCAACACGCAGAGATTTTCCTGACCAATGCAAGTTCATGACTGTGAGTCTTTCCCAGCCTCCTAGGAATGCTGCATGGATCTTTGCACCACAGTCTGGAGTTCCTAAAAAAATTTTAATATGTCTGCATATATCCTCCAACGGGTGTTGGTGCTATGTGTATAGGTGGTCAGTTTTTATGCGTTTTTGCCGTGCAGCGCTAGAGCGCTGAGCAGCAAAAACATGTATTGCAACGACCCTGTGTGTGTGTGTGTGTGTGTGTGTGTGTGTGTATGCTTGTGCGTTTGTGTGCGCGTGTGTTCGTCTGTCCGGGTATTTCAATTCGCCAACCACGCAAGTTTTGAAGCTGAAATTTTGCCAGTGTGTTCCCCAGCCAAGCGCCACCCTAGTACCGCGCTATCAACTCTTAGGCACATCTGGGACCCACGTACGAGAGCGTGAAAGTTTTGGCGCGAAAGTTACTAACTCGGAAACGAGAAAAGCTAGAGAGCTGAAACCTCAGGAGAATGTTCCCTACTCGTGTATGACAAAAAGATTTCAAATTCAGCTGTTCAGGATTGCCCGGGGCTTACGTACGGGCACGTGAAAATTATGACGGGAAAATTACTAACCCGAGAACAGGAAAAAGTAGAGAGCTGAAACTTTCGGGGGATGTTTCTTACTTATGTACAACCAAAACCGGCTGTTTAGAAGCGCTCGAGCCCACGTATGGGCATGTGAAAATTTTGGCGCGGAAATTATCGGGAGCGAAAAAAAATAGAAAGCTGAAACTTTCGGGGAATGTTTCCTACTCATGTACACCAAAATGATCAGAAGCGCCCGGGGCCCACGTGTAAGCAAGTGGAAATTTTGGCGCGAAAATCACTAACCCAGGAACGAAAAAAGCTAGAAAGCTGAAATTTTACGCAAATGTTCCCTACTCATGTGCAACTAAAATCAGTTGTTTAGAGACGGCCGAGATCCATGAACGCTACATGTAAAAGCTTTGGCACGAAAATTACTAACCCGGGGACGGAAAGAGCTAAAAAGCTCAAAATTACGTGGAATGTTTCCTACTCATATACGACCAAAATCAAGTGGTCAGAAACGCCCGCGGCCCACGTGTAAGTAAGTGGAAATTTTGGCGCGAAAATCACTACCCCGAGAGCGAAAAAGCTAAAATGCTGAAGCGTTTAGGGTATTGTTCCCTACCCATGTATGACCAAAAGATTTCAAATTTAACTCCTCCAGTGCGGCCTTTTTTGCGGACCAGTAGCTTTCCATTTGTCGGATCACTGAAGTCGACAACTACGATTGACATACCAACAGCTGCACAATTAACTTCCCGAGCTTCGAGGGTCAGTATGTTATAGGGTTAGCTTCAGTGATTCCTTGCGATCTTGCTACAGCACGAAAAGTGCAAAAACGCATAATCGCATGGTGCGTTCCAGCCTGAGTTTTAATAAACAAACCGAAGATACAAGTGATGAACTGGAGAAAAAACAGATCTGAACAAATTCCCAGACCAAATTCCCAGTCTTATCAGAGCTGCTCTATCATCCACATCGCGTGAGGTCATCAGTTGCATCAGTAGTTAAAAAGATCACTGACATAAAACAGTAGCCGGTCACAGTATCAACGTCTGAAGCCCACTACCTTGCAGTATAGGTGCTGGATTCCGAAACTGGGCTTAAAACAAACGGTGCAATTTGAAACATAATAAACAAATAATGATACAAAATCTGTAGCAGTACTTGTAGCAATATTTGTAGCATTTAAAAGTTCTGTAGCAGTATTTAAAAGGATTTGTAGCAGTATTTAAAATAATTGGCCACTGCACCAACGATGGATACGAAGATGCATTTTTTGCACAGATTCCCGTCGGTTTTCGTGGGTAATGGCACAGTTTTTTCTTGGTAGATGCTTTTTAATAAAATCATTGGCGAAGCGCACGGGGGGGCCCCGTGCGATCATGCGTTTTTACAGTGTTACGTGCTGTAATAAGATTACTCGAAATTCCGCTAGCTAGAGATCCCTTGTACATACCGGTCCTCGAATTTCGGGAACTTAATTATCCAAGCTATAGTAGGACAGGGAACAT